GGGGCGGGGGCGTGCGGGCCGCGGGCGGGGGATGTGGGAGGACCGGGAGCGCCCCGCGCGTCGCCTTCTAGCACCGGGCCGAAACGACTCCCCGAGTGGCCATTGTTGCCAATCTAAGTGGGCGGCAGCCATAGCCGTGGTGGTGGTAGTGGAGGGTCTGGCGGCTGGCGGAGGTCCACGGGGTCCACCCGGTGCCCCTCGTGGGGTCCGCGGCGTGTATGGTGCCGCCCGGGTGTGGCGTGCGGCCCCGCCGCGCCGTCCCGGGCCGACCCTCGGTGCCCCACGGGGACAGTCCCACCCCTTTATTGGGCGATACCAATTTAGTGACCATAACGTTGCGAAATGAAAACCACGTGCCGTGTGTGTGTGCGCGCGCGCGTGGGCGTGCGGGGGCGACAGAGAGGGGAGAGGAAGCAAAGACAGTGCACCTGTTTGTGTTTGAGTTCCGCTCCGCAGCAGAGGCGGCAGAAGCAGGAGCCAGGGAGGTTAGGTTCCGCCCGCGAGGCGAGCAGGTGACGGGGGCGCGCGCCAGAGACACTCTGGATCAAGTTCCTCCTCCTACTCCCCCGCGGTGCGCATAGTGCGGTCGCTCGCTGCGCTGGCAGTGAGTGAGGGTTTCGGCTCCGCTCGCTTGCCTCAGCGAGAACCAACCACGACTTGTTGTCTCCTCGAAGGACAAACATTTCCAGGCGGGCGGGTACAACTACTGTACTGTAATTAGATGTGACCGGAAAGCGATGGAAGAGAATAGGATTGGGGAGGGGGGGGGGAGGCGCTCCGCGTCAGTCGATCCGCGTTGTGTCGCGGGCACCATAGAGGCAGAGTGCCCAGAGTGCCGCCCCTGGGGCGCGGGCCGCGCGGGCCGCCCTGTGGTAGTCACACGCTGGTGGTGACGGTGGTGGTACCCGCTGGTGCACGGGAGGGGGGTAGGTCGTCGACCCCGCCCCGGTCTGGCGCCAGCGCCGCCCAGCCCAGCGAGCAGTGAGCGCGCGCAGGGGGGTGGGGGGTCGTTCGGTTGTCCAGCTTATCACTCGCGCGGGGCACTGCGGCCAAAATGATGGCCCTGGACTTTATCACTGCGCGGAAGTGCTGCAATATGGGAGCACACAGCGCGCACCGCCGGGGCCACCGCCGGGCCAGGCCACCGCCGCCGGGGAACCGCGGCGAAAAAGAGTAAAACAAACCGGCAACCGGCGGGGGACAACGAAAATTGAAATTGAGGGGGAAGTGGGGCGCGGTTCGGAAATAGGGCAATATCCCCCTTGTCGTGGTCGCACACGGCTTGTAGCAAAACCCTCGCGTGAGCGCTGTTGTGCACCGCGCGTTGTTTCTTTTTTTTGCGTCTTTTCGCCGTTCACCCCCGCAAAGCGACAAGGAGAGCGGAACGGAAACAAGCTGTTCAAGGATTCATTCGGCTGACGTCCCCCTCCCTCCCCCCGACCGAGGTCCACGATGCAATGTTGTCGTTGAAACTTGGCATATTCTTGTTGTGGGCGACATGCCGTTCGTGCGCGGGGTGAGGATGAGGCCCGAGGGGAAGGGAGGCAAACGCGGTGCTAAGAAATTGGAAAGAGGACGTCTGGCCTCGGCCGGGGGCGCGTGCCACGGAGAGGGGAGGAAAAGTTGGATGTATAAGCATATTATATTTTCTAAAAGGATGCATAGAGGAAGGAAATAAAAATTCAGTGCAGAGCCTCGCGCAGTGCGTGTGGAAAGAGAGGGAGGGAGAGAGGGAGAGAAGGAGAGAGGCAAACGGTGGGAGGGGGAGGGAGATGCGAGGTTTTGTCCGATGGAAGAAAGCATGGGAGGGGTGGGGGTGCGGCGGTGGCCTGAGGAGAATGCGTGAGTGAGTGAGAGAGGAGGGAGTGCATGCGTTTGACGTGAAGAGCGTCGAAAAATTCAGGTATTTATGAATGGAGCCACAACTCCCGCACGACGGAAAGCAGCTGTCAACTTGACGCGCCCGCCGCGGCCGCGGCCCCGGGGGTTCGGAACGAGGCCCTCACTGGCTGGCTGGCGCCAGAAGTGATCCCCGCACGTCCTCGCCAGAGGCGCCCGTCGTTGGTCGCTGGAGAGGGCGGGAGTGGGAGCCACGGAGGGCACGCGGAGCACGCCGTCAAGGCCGCGAGGTCGCCCAACAGCACCGCGGCGTGGAGAAGCGCGTGCCGGTGTAAGGATGACACGGGGAAGGCGGGGTGCGAGGGGAAAGAGGCGGAGAGGGAGAGGGCTAAGATTGCGCTGGGGCCCTGGAACCCTCCGCCGTGTGTGCGCTCCTGGACCGGGCCTCCAGGGGCCGCCCCTACCCACCCTCCCCCCGCACGGCGCTTCCCTCCCCTGCAAGGATTGTGACAGCTCCCTATTTTTATGTGCTTCGAAATTGAACAATGCAGCCAATTGCACTTTGCGGGGGATTGTGGGATGGTGGCGAGGGTGGCTTGGCTCTTGGTGGGGCGCGTCGGGGGTTGCTGGAGGCTCCGCAGACCTGTCCCGGGACAGGAGGTTTCTCTGCAAACCTGGGGCATGGAGGTTTCTCCGCAGACCCCTAGGGGCGGAAAAGTTTGCTTCGGAGCTCACCTTCGCAATAATGTGGTCCTGGACCGGAAAACACACATTGTGGAGAAAACAGTAGTAGTGTAACTAAGTGCAGAGTTAATTGCAAAAGAGATAAACAAAACCCAAGCCGCGGTAATCCGCTTGTGCACGCATAATGTTTTTTCTTCCTTTATGCGCAATGCCGATGAAGCCGTGCCGTGTTTGCTGTGGGCTGGCGTGGCACAGGGGTGGGGGTGGGGTTGGGGCAGGGGGGCCCCCGGCTCACTTCATCCATTCTGCCGCTGCCTCCACACACACAACATGCGGCTCTCCGGCCCTCCCGCATATATTGCGTTTTCACCATCCCCCGTGCGTTACCTATACCCACAGTAAATCAGCTGCCAGCCAGCAAGCCCAACCTGCCGCACCGCGCCGCGCAGCTCCGCGCCACAACTTAGCTGTATCGCAAGTTTACTCCTCCCTGCTACAAGCCCCCCCC